AGCTATTAATGGTAAGTATGGAAATGTAATTAATTCTAATTAGGAATATGTTTTCTAGCTGTTAAATGAAAATTTGAAATACAATAGGATAATTTTTATTTTAAGAAAGAGAATTTCATCTTTGGAACTTTGTGATTAAGAGAAGATCAATTAAAAAGAATGGGGCTTAAATCAGACTAAAATTTGATACAATCCATTAGAACCAAAAGAAATCTGCTCAAATTTTTCCTTGTATATTTCAGTCTCCCAGTTAGACAACAAAAATAAAAGTGAACTATGCAAATGCTTGGCTACAAAAAAAGCTATTAAAATTAAATGCAGTCAAGTTATATCAAGAGTCTCTGTTACCAGACTATCAAGAACATTTTACAATTCAGTCTATCACACTATCCTCAATTTATTTTCATTATCCAGTCTTCAATATGCTACAGTATGATGCATACTGAATAAATATTTCAGATTTTAACGTTAATAAACCCCACACATTATTATGTCTGTGTGCACTTTGTGCGTGGGTGCATATATCAAAAGGAACAGAGACAGTCACAACTGCAGTCCTGAGATGCTGGGTTACAGACAAGGAGAAACAACCAAATAAAAAAAGTGTTAGACCTTAAGCCTTAAGGTGTTACAATACACCATTACAACACACCGTTATTTTTGCTGCAACAGATTACATAACTATTCCTCTGGGAGCAGTGACCAAGTAAGATTTACTTCAGAATCCACCCCTCTAAAAATTGCTGGTTTTCCATCATTTAGCAAACACATGAAAAGCTTCAGAAGGGATATTTCATTTTTTCACAGTAAATGTAGGCACAAATCACCCCTAGTAACAAATACAATTACCGTGTCAGTAAACCAGAGGCAGGGAAAGTTGCATCACAGATTTACAACCAGGTAATGTACAATCCATAACATACCAATTTACTTACAACTTTTCAGCTTCTTCATCTCTTTGCAATTACACAATAGTGCTTTCCTTTGCAGCATAAACTGAACCAAAAGTTTGTGGGCAGCAAAATTATTAAGGCTCAAAATCAGTAAAGCTTTTTAATCAAAGTTTCTGATCAAAATAATTATAAAGGTACTGGATGTAACAAAAAGATTGCAGAATGTTAATTATTAAAGCCTATTTATTCCTATTAACTTACATAAGCTATCTGGCAGTGACTGAGCAAGAAAGGGATCTTGGGGTTGTGGTGGACAGTACAGTGAAATGTCAGTCCAGTGTTGAGCTGTTCTGAAGAAGGCAAACTCTATGCTAGGCATAATTAGGTAAGGAATAAAAATAGAGCTGCCAAAATCTACTTCCCTTATACAAATCTTTGCTAAGACGGCACTTGGAATATTGTGTTGAGTTCTGGTCACCTTACCTGAAAAATGACATTATTCAGCTAGAAAAAGTACAGAGAAGGGCAGCTAAAGTGGGCTGGAGAGATTCCCCCAAGAGTAGCAGCTACAACAAGCAGGACTTTTCAGCTTAGAAAAATGGTGAGTAAGGGAAAACACAGAGCTGTTTAAAATAATACATGGTGTGGAGAAAATGGAGAGGGAAGCATTTTTTCTCTCTCTCCCATGACACTAGAACCCAGGATCATCCCATGAAGCTGACTGAAGGGAGGTTTAGGAGAGATAAGAGTACATCTTCACACAGCATATAGTTAAACTATGGAGAGCAATGCCACACAAAGTGGTGATAGCCACCAATCTGGATGGCTTTAAAGAGGGATTCATGAGAGAGGAACCTATTAGTAGCTACTGGCTATGTGCTATCTCCTTTACTAGAGTTGGCCTTACATATACTAGTTGCTGAGGAACTTGGGCAGGAGGAGGTCTTGCACCAATCCTGCTTGAGGGATTCTGTGGACAGCTGGTTGTCACCATGTATATGGCATATTGGACTAGATGAACCTTTGGTCTGATCCAGCATGACTTTTCTTATGTTCTTGTGTTCTTAATCTTCATTGAGAATACTGCACAGCAATATTTACCACTTGGTTTTATATAATGCTTTTCAGAATAAAACAGGAAAACTGCTCATCTCTAAAGCAGGGGCAGAATGAGTTTTAATGAATAAATATGCCTAAGAAGTGAATTGAAAGCAGCTGTATAATCACTTGGTGGTCTGAGGTTTATCAGGTGGTCCACTTTTGCAACCATATACACACAATAGGAAAAGGCAGTGGCCCTCCATTAGCTCTATTTGCCCTGGCAGAATTAATCTACTGGATACTTACCCAATGGATTTCTAAATTGGTACAGAGCTTTTTTATAGAATTTAAATTCTTGAGGACAGTATGATCTAAGATTTAAGTTTATGTAAGTTTTAGGATAGGAGGCAACATAAGTCTGTATATGTAAAAAGTAGCTTCTGCATAGCCTGAAGTGCCTGATACTGCCTAATTTTGAAGCTAAGCAGAGTTGGGCTTGGTTGAAATCTGGATGGTTGACTTAAATATTGTGAACCACACAGAGAAATTTGGCTACAGGCATTATAGAAATGCATTGTAATTGTTGTTGCTGCTGTTATACCTCTTGTTGTGTTCCTATCTCATTCATGAACAGTGAATCTGCTGTTACCATCCTTGATACAGAAATAGCTGCTCCAGCCACTGAAGAATCGTAATTATTCCACAATAGGAAGACTTATGAACCGAGGCGTTTTCTGAAGGTATCCTAAAATTCTTTTGTTTGAACTAACATTTATGGTATAAATAAAGCTGGTACAGAGGCAGCAGGGGGACTGCTGATTGACCTCTTAATTTTAAACATTTGCCCTGGTGTATTTGCTTTCAGATTTTTATTTGCTGACCTTTGTCTGCTAATTACTAAAAGCTGGGACAAAAAGGACTAAATTATTTTAACTCTTGATATTCAAATTAACTGTATTTCATAGACTTTCTTAGCAGTCCTTATCCAAGCTTCCAATGTAAAAATAACTCCTTGTCTCCATTTTAAGAACATGTTTTCAAGACTTCAATTAAGCCTATACCGAATCTCCTTTAAAAGGGAAAAGCCTTCTACTGTTTCATTTTAATGCTTTTAAGCTATTCTTTCATCTAATAAAACACATTTCCCAAAGCATCAGCATAGAATCAAATAGAATAAAAAGACCCAGTCATTTAACACAGCCAGCCAATCCTGTCCCTCAAGACAGAACACTGATTACTGCTCCATTTCTATTATTAAAGTATTTTTCTTAACCTAAGATCTAATGCCCACTAATTTAAACCCATTGCATCTTGTTCTTGTTTTATTCTTTGTTTTAATGGATCAAATAAATAATGGTTCTTTGTCTGATTTCTTTTCATCCTTTTGAACACTACCAGTGTACTCAAGCTAAACACAATTCCTTTAAGATTTTCTTCATATGATATGGATCACTAACCTTTAGGCACAATTGCTCACCTGTATTTACAACCCTATTATGACATGTTTACTTGGAGGCAAGTCCCACTATGTGCAATAGAACTTACAGTTAATATGCATTTTAGTGTGGTTTTTTTTCCTATCCAATCCCTGAAGTTTGTTAAAATAACATGTAAGGGTAGGAAGAATCTCATGAAACCTCATATATAATTACCAATATCCTACTATAGATAAAATAAGCTATTTTTTCAGGGAAAAACTGGATTTATCTAACATGATGTACACTTAATAAAGCCATGTTGCCTTCTGTGGTCATTTAATTTTCCTCAAGGTTCCTTCATATAATTTGGTTATTTTCTATTATCTAATATTGGTATTTGCCTTTTCTATTCTTTTTTCACCTTAGATACCAAAATATACCCTTTCTTGTTCTTATTCCCAAATGGTTTCTACCCTCACATTCTTCACATGTTTTCCTCCTATTCAGCAGAACCAAAAATCAGTTCTGTATCCATCCAAAATCAGAATGGCATTGATCAATAGCACAGATTCTTTTCTATCTCTCCAGAAGACTGATAGTCCCCCACAGTCAATGGAAAAGTCACTGGGGGGTTGTTTCAAGGGGAGGAAGAGGAAGAAGAGAAGGAAAAGTTCTGTTGGAGTCAGCCTTACAAAGAGATCGTGATTACTGACTTCACTAGGCACTTACACAATATTCTGCATTTTTCTGTATTATACTTCTGACAAATATAGGAATATTTAAAGAAATATTTATATTTCTTTTCTCCATCTTGTCCTCAAACTTATACTCATAGGATTTTGCCATATATGTTACCATCAGAATATATATTGTGATGGTTTATTTTACAGGTCTTCATCCTTGTGCTTTATCTTTTGTCTTTCCAGAATAACCTAAAATGTCTTAAACTAACATTTCCACCAAGAAAGTTTTCCTGCCAGAATGTAATACCCACTAGGCAACCATTATAAATAGAGGGAACAAACTCTTTTTCATCTTGCCTATTGCACATATTCCTTCTATTAGTATTCAAAAATTCCATTCAAGTATGTTGGCAACAATGCCTATGAATCTTCAATGGGTTGGGTCCAGATTTGAGGTTGGAGGTGTTGATGGCTCTAGTTGAAGGGAGTAAACTGAAAAAAACACTGTTCTTTGTCTTCTTCATATTTTCAAAAGCAGTAACACAATAACAAATATACAGTGGTAACAACTAGATTATAGCCTTCCCCAGGCTAGTGCCCCTCCCAATATAGCTGACCAAGACTGATAGGAGTCTAAGTCCAAAAATCTATGGAGAGCACCAGGTTGGGGAAGACTGAGCCTAGGATGGATATATATGCTCAATCTGTCCTTTCCATAAGAAATTTCAAAAGTCTAAATTTAAAAACCAGACTTATAGCATTAACCTGCAATCAGGTTTACTAATAAATATTTTAGAGAAGTATCTTTTTGCTCCAAAATAAAATAGCAATTGTCTACATGTACTTACATGCATCTTAAAACCACTTCACTGAATTTTAAGATTCATTCTTAAACTTCTGAAAATTATTAGTTACTAATAATACTGAATGCGATTGCTTGACTTTGCTTCCTATAATGAAGTTACCTGTCATTTATAATCCAGTTCAGACACAGATTGAGGGAGGTAAGGTTTTTGCATCTCTTTACTATCTCCATCACTGTTTCATTATCCAGTTCTGTGATATGACGTAGATCCAAGCTGGAAAGGTTCCTTAGCTATTAAGATAAATACAACAGAAAGTTCTGTAATCCATACATAAATATTAATTTATATAATTATTTGCAATTGATCTTCCTGAGCCTGTCTTTGTCCTTATAACATATAAAGTTTCTGCTTATTTAAAAATGAAGCTGTAGTGATGATCATCATCATTCACATCTCAAAATGCTCATTTCCATTCCAGATAAAGCGTTATTTGTCCGTTAAACAGATAGTTCAAACCTTCTTATTCACTGATATGTGCAAGATAATTAATGTAAATGATTTGCTTAAAAATTAAAATTTTTGAAATCAAGTTACTAATTTAAATGTCTTGATAAAAACTGAAAGCACTGGGCTGTGTCCAGCATTTGCCTCTCACAGGTGGAATCCTCAGAAGCCACCTGATCTAGCAAAATTTTTAGAGTTTCCAGCAGCTGGGTAGAAGAGATGATCTGCCCTGATTCCCCATCCTCTGTTTCAGATGTTTGGAAAACCTTCCAAAAAATGAGAGGTGGTGGTGCTCAAGGGCTGCGTAGGAAGAAGCAAACATTGCTTCCCCATCCTTTCTGCTGAAAGAGAATTCTATGTGGAATTCTGCTTAGGGTATAGTACTGTAATGGATCAAAATGCTGGATCCAGATTTAGCCATACTTACTAGTAGAAATACAGCCAATGAAATCAGTGGGAATTATATACACCATTACTAATTAATTACTAATTTAACTATGTTTCCATGTGGCTTGTTATATGGATGCCAGTTACAGTGTTTTTCTGTGGTTTCCCAGTTTTAGTCAGAGTTTGGTGATAAGAATGGTTGCAGTGGCTTCAGCCATCATTTCCCACAGCCCTGTTCACCTAACTGCCTAGCTACTCATAGACAGAGTGATGATTGACTATCTCCATGCTGCCTGTCCTCCCTCCTGACAAGCACTCCCTGGTACCCAGCCACCCCACCACTGCCATGCCTGGTTTGCTGCTTCACCCGCTCATCTCTTCACCGCTCTACCCACTCACCTTGTTGCTCCTTGCTTCCATGCTAGAGTCATGAGGGGCATGAGGGAGATGCCCGTTTTGCCTGTGCAGCTCATGCATTAGGCACCTCTCCCTTGCACATCAGGAATCTCTTGTGAGCACCTCGCAAGGCTGGCATGTCAGTGAGCAGCAAAGAGATGAGGGGGTGAGGGGGCATGGTGGTAGTGGGGCATTAAGAAACACACATGAAGAGAGAGGTCAGGGAGGGCCTCCAGCAGCAGCAGCAGCAGCAGCAAGAGGGAAAATACTCATAACACTCCTGCATGGACACTGCCCTGAGCTGAAGTGACACATGGGCAGCATGTGAGGCCACACCACCAGGGTGAGTGTCCTTCGGAGCTCATGTATCCTGCTTTGCCTCCTGCCCTCTGCCCTGCTCCCACTCTGTCCCCAACAATCCAGAGGACTCTCTGGAAGCCTCCCTCCCTGACAGCTTGCTAACAGAATTTCCTGGCCAGGTGCCCAAATGGGCATCCTTAGGAAAATGTGTCTTCTGTGTGTCAGGCTATCTGAAGGAGTCAACTCTAGAAGCATGTGCAAGTCCTGCATATAGTGGGTGTGTGCATGAGGGAGGGGGAGAGGTTTGGGTCAGTGGGTGTTTGTGCATGAGTGACAGTGGGGGAGTGCTGCTGTGTTGCTCCTGCAGAGATTGTCCTATTCTAAAGAGTAGATGGCAGCTCTGCAGGAAGTGGCAGCTGGCTAAGAAAACAACGAGGGAAGAGGCTTGAACAGCATGTGCTGGGATTCATTCCCAGCCATGAGGACTGGTGGGATACACACTGCCATTTGGCAGGAAGCTGGTGGTGCATAGGAACTACTTGTGAGTAGTTATGTCATGTGTGAATACAAGATACCAAGGTAAGATAAGAAATGTTGTGATATTGCATAGTTTTAGGTGTGAACACTGCCAATACGGGAGCCCTCTTTGAAGGAGATCAGAAGAGAGCCTACCCAGAGAAGGGCCTTTTCTGTGGTGGTGCCCCAGCTCTGGAACCTGCTCCCCAGTGAGGTGTGCCTGGCACCGACCCTGGTATTCATTTCAGTGCCAAGCCAAAATCTTTTTATTTTCCCTATATTTTAAAAATTCATTGTGATTTTAATATTGGTTTTATTAGCTTTATATTCTATTGTTTGTTGCCACTACTGCTTTGTATAGTCGTCCTGAGACCCTTTCTAAATGAAGGGATAAAAATGCTCCAAAATGAATGAATGAACGAATGAATATTAAAACAGCTTTCACCTGTCAGTAAACACTGGAAATTTAAAGTTTAATCCTTCACAAGGCTCTGCAGAACAAAACAAACCTGCGTATCTATGCCTGGCTTACTGACCTTTTCTTTGCATAACAATAGGGTGGCCTACTAACATTACAAACTCATAGACCTTTCCTCAATGGATTTTAATCCTGTTTGTTAGAGGGTTTAGTCAAGCATTTTACCTTTAAAAAGAGATCTGGATGACCTGTACTGAACCTTCTTTTGTTTCTTTGTCCTGGGTCTACAGTTTGGGGTATAAAAGTATTCCTATGGAGATTTTGGGGTACTTTTGTACCCCAGGCCTGTTTTGGTTTATGGAGGGTAGAAAGCAGTGGGCTGAAATCTGGAGACTTTTTAGACTAGATACTTCATAACAAAGTACTAGAAGGATTAGTTGGTAGACAACTTATGTTTAAATTATAGTACAAAATGTGAGTTAGAGTGATGCCAGTTACCCTATAATGAGATAATTAAGTATACTGTAGTTACTCTTCAGTTTTGCCTGAACATTAACTAAAGCTACTATCATGTTTAGTTAATGCTATGATTAATCTTCTATACTTACAAAAAGTTTTCACTGAGAGTAAGACACCATGAACCAGAATTGTCAAGTATGCCATTTATTTGGAAATAACTTCACAGAACACAAAGCATGAAATAAGAGGAAATAATTCATTTATTTCAGAATTCAAGTCAATTGTTACATATTTTATTTCACTGTAACAATTCTGAATAACATTATGAATATGTAAGGTTTACGATTGTAAGAACTCAGGGAGGAAATTAGTTGGGAGATTAGAACAAAAGTGTGCGCCTCACACAAAATCTATGGAATAGGAGATATCATGAAATTTGCCTCCTCTCAAAAGTGACTCAGTATTGCAAATGGAGTACTGGTCTAAGACTTTTCCCCCTTCAACCAGCCTCTTCATGGACAACACAGAAAACAAAGTTAGCTGGATAAAGGCCAAAGCTTCTCTTGTCCATATTTTTACTTCAAAACAAAAGCAGTGTATGATCTACCAAAATTAGGTTGTTGATATCCTGCTTCCTTAGCTGCTTTCCACATTACAAGAAAACAGCTGAAACCATTAATGTTTTCTGACAGTAATGCTTATCTAAATGAAACTTTGTTATATATTGTTAAGACAGTGTTTTCCATCTTTAAAAACATGCCTGCCAACTAAACCCAAGCTTCCTAAATTAATTTGCTCTCTTTTTAAAAACGCTTCTTCCACCCCCTTGAAATTATCCATGGTATATCCTAAAACTGTTTATTGAATTTAAGTAATACTGACTTTTTAATTAAAATGCACTCTCTAAGTATGAGAAAATAGTGATTCATTTAGTGATTTAAGCTTAAAATGATTAAGAAAAAGGTTTGTTACTGAGATCATATCATTGGTCCACTTCAGCTGTTGTGTATTTCAAATAAAATACATTTTGCCAACTGGGCACACTGGATATAGGTCAATATGTTTAGAATTAGCTTACTATTTTGTTTCAAGAAGCCAAACTTCATTCATCTAACATTAAGTGCTGGGACGGCAGGAGGACTTCATTGCTTATAATATTTACTGTTAAAAATAAAACTGTAACACAAACTTCTCTGTTTCAGGGCTTACCAGCTTCCAGAGGTTTCCTCCTAAGAGGAAGATCCTACCATGAACTAGGTGTAGTGCGGAATAAAACATCCTGAGGGAACCCCAAGCAGTATAACTTGCCCAGGGAAGAGAATCAGTGAAACTCCCCTGCCACCTAGGCATTCACCAACTCCGAGGGAGCTACAATCACTAATAGGACTAGAAAAATAAAGATGGCAACAAGTCTAAACCACAGTCTGAATGCAATGGTTCTTTCTTACCTAGCAGAGCCCTATTCATAAAGAAGAATCCTTCTTTAAGTATAGACAAGATCAGGGCTGCATTTCGATATCAGGAACAGTGGGGCAGCCAGACTAACTAGTCTTGAATAGAGCCTGATGTCAGGAAGATTTTATACCTGAGAGTGTTTTGGCGGGAACGACTCCACTCCTACCAGCATTCACTATATTGGAGGAGTTCCTGCCTGTTCCTTCAGTTCATTCAAGACCACCTTGTGGTCTAAGAACTAAGGGAGGGTCAATTTGACTGACCTCAACCATGGACAAACCCAATCTTGGTATGGAAAGGAAAGTTCAGAATGACACCAAAGAGGGCTTGGTAGGTGGGTTGGGTGAATGTACAGAAGATTGTTCAAAAAATGACAGTTACAGGTAAACAACTGGCCTTTCTTCTGTGCATCACGCATATGGGCAACTAGCAAGCTTACCTTGTTGGATAGTGGGTCAGTGTCATCATCAAAGCACCAATGAATGGATTGCTCTCACAAAAGCACAATCTGCCCTGGCATGAACATCCAAGTCTATAGTGATTCACAAATGTCAATAGCGTGGATCAGATGACTACTTTACAGAGGTCCAGCAGAGGCATTCCAGTGTGCAGAGCAGTGAAAGTCACCGTCATCCATGTAGAGTATGCTTTCACTGGCCCCAGAAATGTAGACTGGCTAGCTCATATACCAGCAATATTGTCCTCATCACCCAAGCTGCTAATCTTTGAGGTGACAAAGGAAGTCCTTTGTTTTGCCACCATAATAAACAAAGCATTTTTTTAAACTAATGGATGGATTCAGTTCCGGGCCATGAGAATGGCAGCACTCTATGCACATCCAGTGTATGTAGTGTA